TCCGCCGATAGCTTTCAGGATTTGTAACCCAAATAAAAAAGTAAGAGTGACAAGCACGCTTATAAAAAGTACAGAAGCACGTCGGTATCGGCCTAACCCAGAGTATTGTACACCAGGTAAACGAGGTACTCTTCGAAGTGCTTGCGGCACACAACGGCCAAACCAGGAAACCGGGGCAGGGAAGCGAGCCAGATGCGAGATCTCGAAGCCGAGTCCTTCCCCTGACGTCACGGTACACTTCACCCAAACAGGACGCGGCGACCGCAGCGACGCTTCTGTTCCCTCTCGGGGCTAATAGTCGGTCACAGGACAAGAATGAAGTGGAAGCTTCTCACACCCCTTTCCACTTCAGCGGAGCGAACGGTGGAGAGGAGGTGGTTTCCTCTCCAGAGTTCACACTGCTAAAGTGGAAAGAGATGGGAGGAGATTCCACTTCGTTCTTGACCTTTCATCGACTATAGACCGTTCCATTAGGGTCATATCAGAGAGGGTAAAAGAGAAAAAAATGCACTCCCCCTCTCACCCTGTATGTCGTCCGCTCCGCCGAGTGGGCTGTAGCTAGCGTCCGGCTGGCGTGCAAACTTTGTTTAAAATCGCGTCATTTTGGAACTTTCAAGCGCAGATGCGCAGATTTTGGTATGCCAGTTGTCGTGTAATATTATGCTAGATAAAAAGACTCACAGGGTCCAATTGCGCTGTTACCTGCGTGCAAAATAAAAAGAAATAGGGAAAACTGTGTCAGATTGGCCGGTCCCTTTGGCAAAAAGTAAATCCGGTTGCTGTACCTTTTTACTGTACAAAGTTCGTACTGGTGTAGGCCTTTAGCGACCATGAGTGGAAGTCTGAAATAATAAATAAAACGTGCTCTCCTGTCGCAATACACGCAGTAGTTGAGGGTAGTACTGCCGGCTGACTCAACTGCTATTTAAGTAACGGAAAAAAGCTATGATAGTTGATCATTTAGCAAAATAGAACAACAGAAAGCTATAGGCTGATTTTGGAGTAGCCACAACTATTCTAAGAACGCGAACTACTTCACAACGGCAGCCACGAGCGAAAGTTCGATGTTCGGTAGAGCCCGCCGATACAGCCCGAAGATGGAGAACGGCAACCTACCGGTTTGTTGTCTGCTAGCGGAGTCGGGCGCGTGCCCTGTCTCTCGTTTTACCCCGCCGAACCCGCTGAACTTCCCGGATGTGTGGATGGGGCGCTGCGGTCGAACAAAATGGTGCCGCCCAGAGAGCGCTAAATGGAATGGTCTATAGAAGCTCCGCCTTTGAGCGCGAGCTCGCTGGCTTCCGCAGTGCTTTGGTTGCGCGTGCCTGCGCGTTCACACTTCTGTTAGTAAGGGCAAAAAGCTCGTGCTCAAGGCGCAAAATGCAGATCATAAACTTTTGAATGCAAAACAAAGGGATCCTGACCGGTTCCCTTTGGTTCATGCGCAAGGCCCGCGGTTTGCTCGCTTTCCAAAGCGACGAACATGCGCGTGCTGGGCTGCGGAGATCGCAGGCTGGGCTGTGAACATGGAGTGATTAACAATAAACGCTAGAGGTTCAGGTGGCGCTAGTGGGCTGTTGCATTTTGAAGCAGGACAGCAGCCAGTCTAAATTTGACTTGCAGTAAGGCATTCCTGTGGAAAAACGCAAATCCGTTTCCTTACGCGCTCGATTATAAGATCAAATATTGCTGTGTTATCACAGAATGAAAAGTTTGGAACATTTTACAATCGAATGTGCAAAAATGTGTGTCAGAGTGTTTTTTTTAGAATTCATGCCGTCGAACATTGCGCTAAAAAAAGCCCAATACAGATGTCTAATACGTGTTGACGTTGCAGACTGATATTATACGGCATTTACGCATATAGTTTAATGCTATGAAGCACACAGAGTCAATCAGCTTGAAAAAACACCAAAATGATGCTAATATATGCCAAATCAAACTACCAAACAGACGACAAGAACTGTCGTCGGTCTGCCTTGCTGCATACCCGACCCGGAGGAATAACACGGAGCCAACGGTTTCAGTCGCGCCGCTTCTGCCTCGCCTTATCTAAGCGAGCGGCACGAGGCGCGCGTGGCCGGCTGCTTGCCGCCACCTTGCGGCCGAATGATTGCCGCGGTATTTTGGGTACCGAGCAACCATGTACACCACAGAACGAAGCGTGGAGTTGCAGAACGAAGAACACGTACTGAACCAGTGGCAAACTGTGCATGAATGATCAAAATTACAGCTTAAATTACAGCTATTACAGCTTGAATAAACCCTACGCACTTTTGAATTGTTCCCTTTGCTTGAATTGATAGCTTGTATTGACATATCACGTTGTACAACATAGATTTCCCTATGAAAAATCCAACAAAAACTTCCAGTGACATCCGGTGAACTTTCAGTGACATCCGGTGAAAACTGCTCATGTTTCACCCGTTTTCATCCGAAACCAGCGTAGATTACCAGTCTTTGCTGGAATAATTTCCGGTAGCTACTCTCGGTTACCAGATTTCGCTGGAATTTTACAGGCAGCTACTTTCGTTTACCAGCCACTTTCGTTAACTTCCGTTTGCTCTATCTTTTGAAAAAAACCGGTTTCTTTATCCGTCAACGAGCAACGGCCACGAACGGACGCTCAGTGTCGGCTTCCCGTTCCATGCGTGCGACCTGTATCTTCCAGAGCAGCTGGGTGTTCAGATAAAAATAAAATATATTTCAGTGACCTGTTCCTTGTGCCTTTTTGTCCGTCCGGCTTCAGAAGCATCCAGCTAGCGAAAAAGACGCTGGAGACGCCTCTGTGAAGGCATCAGGGACGACACCGTGACTGTGGCCATGAATTTCTCAACGGCGGCGGATGTTGGTGCGCGTACGTGGTTTTCGCTAAACGTGCTACTAACAGTATGTGTGTGTGTGTGTCCGTGAGGTGCACCTGCTCGGTTCTATTAGTTGAACTACCGTACATCTAGTAATTTACCCAGCGGTATTGTGAGTACCTTGAAAGATATGTTTGGCGACAAAGAACTCGGTTGTTCCTATTTGGTCTGATTTCTTTTGTCTACAGCTGTGCAAATTTTCACGGGTATCGACCCTGTGAAATAAAGACATGGAACTTTCAGGTCTATATGGACTAACCGTTTTAATGGTTACCGAATCGTCCAGCATCTGGTGAACATACACCACCCACGGTTCACAGGCTTCTTCCTAAGTTCCTTCCGTTCACGTCCGAAAAAAAACACACGGTAAGTTCCGGTGAACTGCGCCAAATCCGGTGACTTCCGGTAATTTCTGGTGAATCCAAGTAAATCTGGTGACTTCCGGTGAGTTCCGGCTTTACCGGAAATGAAGAGTCCCATAATCCAGTAAAATATATTCTTTACTGAAAATGAAATTCCGGTAAACATTCCGGTGAGTTCAGGTAAATTCCGACTTTACCGAAAGTGAAAAGAGTCCCATAATCTAGTAAAATAATTTTTTACTGGAAAAGAAATTCCGGTAAAAAGTCTTTTTCAATAATGTTAGGTCTCATTTTTCGCTAACTTAAACACCGCTCAGTATTCAAAAAACATTAACTGAATAAATTACACTGATAATGTGAATAAAGCTACATAGTACCCGTTACGAGTAAAGAAACTATGCCGATTTCTATTATTCTCTGTCGAAGAGAAAAATATCACGTACGTCTTCCAATCGGAATACAAAGGAAGATTGAAAAAGTAGTCTGTTTGCTGTCTGCTTCAATTTGCAACCGGAAGTACCATAGACACTGGCGCCAGCTAAGCCTCTAGCGTTTATTGTAATAACGCTATGGCTGTGGACTCATAAATACTGGAATGGTGTATAAGTACACTTGGACTAGATTACGGGGGTAGTGTTGGGACCTGTGCGGCTCAAGTGAGGCGCGTGGTGTAGATCGCGACAGGTGTCGACATCGGCGCATTGGTAGGATCGCGCGCCTGGGCCTCGTTAGGCGTGTTGCGAACGGTTACGAACACTCGACGCAATATTCGCCAAGCTTGGCGGGCTGCAGAAACTTCGTGAAGACTCCAGCGCCGCGATTGTTCTCTATTAGCAGCGAGATGTTGCGGTGGCGCCCTCGTTTGGTTACCTTTCGTGACGCCATTATCTTGTGAAGAAGTTCAATGGTGTTTGTAATGAACAGGTGGAAGCCTGAAATCATAGCGCTCTCAAAGCAACACTGCCAACACCGTCAAAATTGAAGTTCTTACATTCCTCTTATTTCCGTCGATGAGACATCCTTTGCTGACGTCATAGTCAGCATTCGGCCAATTGTGGTGGGCCGACCACAGTGACGCTTTCGATCGCTCACGTCGCCAATAGACGCAGCCTCGCGAGCTCCCATTGCCGACCGGCGCCGGTCCCAACACTACCTCGTATTTTGGTGCGTGTAATATAAGTGAATTACACCACCGTAAGGAGTGAATTTCTCGAGGCCTGAGTAATACAGCCTTGCACGGACTCATTGATCACTGCCACGTCGAGTTTAGCGAGCAGAATCAGTCCATCTCAAACGTCCCAGATGTAGCTACGCTCGACCATTTCCGATTTCTAAAAGAAACTTTATGGCTTTTTACTCCAAGGCCCTTAACCGTTTTCTAAAATATTTTCGCCGAATGTTTTTCTTTTATGACGTAAACGTATCCTCAACTTTTAAAATGGACGTAAAACTAGGCGTCAATCAATAATTCAGTGAAAATAAGATTTTTTTCGAAACGATTTAGAATTTGTTTCATAATATTCGAACAACTTTTAGCTTGCTATGTTGTGATGATTATTAATTTTTTTTAAATATATGTTTTTTAAGCTTCACAAAATTTGCAAAAATCAGCACTTTTCTAATTGTTTTTGTTTTCCTCTGGAAGCTTCTTACCTCCACGACTGCTAGAGATGCACGACCGCACGTCGGCACGATGCTCATGCAGATTGAAACCCGAAGGGGTGGTGAAAGGAGGATGCCCACTCACGCACAGCCAGAAGACTTTTGGACCACGTACCTCTTATTTCGACGACTTTTGATGTACGACGGGAACAAAACCCAGGCGGGTAACAATTCCTGGTCACAGGGTTCAGCTGAAATCACACAGTAATGGGCAGTGGTGATGTTTCAGGGTTTCGAGAACATCTAAGAGTGCTCAGAATCCCACAATGATGCGCAAGATATGAGTGCCGCAGAAATATCTAGCAGGAGATGGATCAATAAGGGAGTGGAGTTTCTGCAACGGGAGCAAACTTGTAACTTTGAAAAAAACATTGTATTTGGAAATATGGCATTTATTCGTCCAATTAAAAGACAAAATGTGCAATGTTTTCTTTTAGTTTCGTTTATAGCCGGCAGCTACATAAATAGCAAAGGCTTCGTACCAATAGCGTGAGGACCAACAACCGTACTGAGAGTACGGTGCCAGTTAAATTTACCGGTATTGTTCTGTGTTAGTATGTCCTTTGTAGCTGCCCTGTTTGGGATACCGTCTGGCCCACACGCGTTCTTGGTGTTTAACGATGGGAGTGCCCAAAATATGGTGCCCCAAACAACGCAACATCAGGGGTGGTCAACTGTTAAGCTCAAGTGCAGCGACACCGCAATCGTGTCCCGTGGAGACATAACTAAGATAATCATTGAATGACTTCGAGATGGACTAATTATCAGATACTTCACTGTCGTCCACCTTTATTTTGTTTACGAGTCATCTCGCACGACACAGATAGCGCCAAAACTTGAGGGTCGCTTCGTAGAACGCTGTCCATCGTCACGTTAAAAAACGGTATCTAGCAGTTTTAATCATTGATCGCAGCTGTCTTCTAAGAGATGGTAGCGGCACTTTTGCACTAGACTTTTGTTTTATAACACATTCGCTTGACTCGACGTTTTAACTGCGGCATTTCCCTAGTTATCCACAGAATCTTCCTGCATGTTGCCTTTTTGCCGAAGGGCACACATTTGTTGATGCAGGTAAGTACAAGTTATTTAAAAAAACCTTGGGGGCTCTTAAGCTTCGCCTTTAAGAGTGGAACGCGATAGCGTCATCGGACCGTGTGCATAAACTTCTCATATAAACCCGGGCTCGTTCCCAAGCAGTGCAAGCGTGTGTGCGTGGTCTAGTCAGTGGCGTCATGTGCCACGTCACAAGACGTCATGTCACGTGACGCGTGACGTCACAGGCGGCTGTGAGGTCATGTCTTTACCGACCCCCTAAACTTAGCGGAAAATTTTCCCGTAAATGTGGTGGGCAATTTTTCCGCTAAATTTGGCGGTAAAATATTCCGTTAAATTTGGCGGAACATTTTTTCCCGCAACATTTAGCGGGTCGATAGGGTCATGACGTCAAAACCAGGTATGACGTCATACGTAGCTGCGCTTATTGCATTATGAGAATTTATGGTCCCAACGACACCGATTCCGACGTCGACGCCGGATTTTCTGCGACACAAGCTCCTAGGCGCTATCGCGTTAAACATTCCATACGTCGTTTATGTTCACTTCACTTTCACCACTCATGTTAACAAGTTCATTGTACGATTAGTCTAGTAAATCCAAAATGCTTTTCATATTAATGAGAGGAAAATACATGTATTTACCCAGTTTGTCTCCAAAAAAGTTTATATAGCGGGATTGTTGGATTGTTAACAAGTAGGTTTCTGAAGCGAGCCCACACAAAACAGCCATTCGTTTTCCTGTCATATAATATTGAAGCGACTAAAATCAATTTGGAATAGAAATACAACAGGAAAGAGTTGAATGACTTCCACGCTGAGTTCATGGGTTTAAACCAATAAATTATCAGTTCATAGTAAACTGACGGTAGTATTTGTCACAAAAACCTGTATATACAGAAAAAGGGCGTCCTGAATGTCACCACCAGTGGTGCTTCAATGACGACACTTGTTCTAGTAATACTCCAAACGATGTTCGAATCAATAGCTATACTCCATAGTCGGCCCGGATGTCCGCGATGAACATATAAAAAGCTGGTCAACTCACCATAAAGCAGTACCTTCCGGGCAGCAGCTCGTCGTACCTCAACGTGTCTGTGGACTAAAAGTGAAAAATTAACGTAAACAGACGCGGGAAATACACCAAGAAGGGGACGCAGGCTATAACTTGGTCTCTCTCGGACTCTAACTTAATATACCATCAGTATAACGTAACACTATGTTGTCATGCATGATAAATAAAAAGGCGACGACATTGCCGAGACAGCGGGATCGAACACTAAGCGGAGAGCAAGTCGTCTGCTTCTTGCGCAGGGGTTGAGGTGACGTCAAACAACGCCGAGTTCTGACTGGATTGGAATGGAAGGATAGTGCGTAGGCCTCCATGCTAGATGCCCTGAGGTCTATCCACTATTTTTTTTTTTAATCAGCCAATAAGAGCTCGGTGTTCTGACATCATCGTCACCTTTGTGGAAGAAGCAGACGAACTTGCGCGCCGCATACTCCGCTTCACTTTACGTCATACCGCAGCCGACGCTCCGTTCCGATGGAGCTAGAGCCACTAAATAAGCTTCACCTCAGAGTAACGAGACTTCAGCCATCTTGGTGCTTAAAATCAGGGTTGCCAGTTGTCTGAAGCTTTATCTGAAATCGCAGGAAACGCTTTTCCGTCCCCCAGAAAACTGGAAACAGTTCGCGACCGAGCGAGACAGCATCACCTGATCTTCATACACCATATGTAAACTAAGGAAGTCGCTTTTTTTAATTTTGACTATTTAGAGTTGCGTTTGCTCTTCGCACTGAGCACCAAGATGGCGGCGCCCACCAGCAGATCGAGGAACGGGATGCCGATGCTCTAAGCCACCGCGCTCTAAGCGTATACTCAATTAGTAGCTCTATAACTCGCGACAACTTTTCTTCGCAATGCAGTGGAGAGGAGGAGAGCCCGCGCACAGCTTTATTGAGTGCTCAAAATGGGAGAGCAAACGCGTGCCTGTACTCTCCACTGTAGTGTCACTAAATAAGCTACGCTTCAGAGTAACGACACTCACCTATATTGTGGCTTAAAGAGCAACTCCGGTCCATACTTTCGATTTTGGGATTATGACTGCTTTTAGTGCAGTCAACGTCCCTGAATTGCAAGGTGTAATTTTTTTCTCTTTATTGTGCGTAGTACAAAAATATCGACGCCTCAAAGTTTTGTTTGGGGCGCGCCCGACAAAACCAAAACTAGCCGCTCGAGGCCCCGTCAACACTGGAAACCAACCGCTATATATGTGAACGTGACGTCAGGATCGTTCTCGTTCAACGAGTACACAGGCTGAGCGGCGCCTACCTCTGTTGCGCTAGCCGTCTAAAGACAGGAGGTAGCCTGATTTTGTTTTAATTCTGTATACGTGGTAGTTATCCAGCATATATAGCAAGAGTTAGTGCGTATACCCAAAAGCTAGCGACTGGAAAACCCGTGAACTCGTATGGTGCCGTGCTCGGCGGCCGCCGCCGTGCGTGCGCTATGCCGTACTCGTCGCTTGTATACCCAAAAGCTAGCGACTGGAAAACGAGTGAACTCGTTCGGTGCCGTACTCGGCGGCTGTCGCCGTGTGTGCGGTCTTCCGTGCTCGTCGCTAGGCCTAAATTGTCATCGGGGCTCCATGGATGGAGCGGTGTTGCTCAACGCCGCGCTGCCAGTGACGTACAATACTGGGGGCCCTCTCGCTTTCGCGCAGCGGGTCAGTCCCAGACACGAAGCTTTGAGGCTCTCCAGCGCGGGCTGCGGTGCCCGAACACACGTGTGCTATGCTGTACACGTCTGTTTTTTTGTTCTTTTTTCCTCGAGCGCGTCAAAGCCGAAGTCCACAGTCCACTCGTCGAACAGTGTTCACCCACACCTTCTTCAATCTCCGGTCCGTTGGAAACTTGTGAAAAAGCACCTCCGGGTTTCGCAGCGGGTTGATTGAGCAGCCCACGGCGCTACAAGTTGTACTCGGCATCTTTCGAGGAACAGTTGGGCAGTCTTGGGAGCACCGAGTTGCTCGCTAAAACGAGTATTGGAGTCCTCACAAGCAAATAAACAAAAGGCTATACCGAAGCTACACGGGCTACTGATAAAAGCAACGGCTAAACACGCCAATCACAACCCGAAGTAGCGGTGGTAGCGGCTAAAGAAGCGCACTCCGCGCAACACCCGAACCGGAGGGAAAAAAAGAACGATACTGACGTTACGGCCCAATGTTGCTTTAGCGATCGGCAACTTGCTGACCGCCAGCTAAGGAGCAGCGGCTCGCGGCGGGTCGCATTTTTATTATCGGCGTTAGTTGAGAATGCGGCGTCCCACGGACGTATAATATTTTGGCTGGGTCGTATTTTGTGTCACCACAGCGATACCAGTAATTTATTTCATTTTGAGTTTTGGCCGGAGTTTCCCTTTAAAATGATGATTGCCAATTACCTGAACGTTTATCTGAAATCTTAGGAAACGCTTTTCCGTCCTACATACAGATTTCAAAAGTTCGCAACAGATAAAATCGATATTACATCAGCTTCCTAACACCGAACCTAATGCTGAGGAAGTCGCACATATGAATCATGTTGATTGGCAGTTGCGTCTGCTCTGCACAAGCACCAAAATGGCGGCACCCACAACAATGACGGGGAAACCTATTCAAAGGTATGACGGGACACATCAAGGCTTTCAATGCCAGAGCATAACTATGCGAAAGGCAACAGCTACAACAAGAAACGAAGGCTTCCGTGGATCCTTCAGTGGAACTGCAACGGCATCCGTTCCAAAACAGCTGAACTCAAACTAAGAATCGAAGGAGCGGGTAAGAACGCTCCTCTTGCCCTATTACTACAAGAAGTAAATACTCAGAACATCAACATTACTGCGTACAAAGCATACCAGATACCGACAATCCTAAATCGACAGAACGGACTACACAATCCTAACGGGACAACTGCTCTTCTAGTTAGGGACAGTATCCCACACTCGCACATCGACACGACGCATATTTGTGACGAACACCAAGAAATTGTAGCAGCGCGGCTACACACCGCCAAGGGAAAACTCATACTAGACTCGGTCTACATCAGACCACATAAGAAGGAAGACGAAAGTATGAATTGGTTACAAACCTTAATCAAAGAACGAAAATGTGATGAGGAAATCATCGTGGCAGGTGATTTCAATGCCAAGAACACTATGTGGGGTTATCGATATAACAACATAAGAGGAAGAAACATAGCAGAACAGGCAAAAACCGCTACTCTGAGACTTCTCAACAGCCCGCATATACCCACCCGCATCGGACAAACATCAAGACAGAGTGACACCTCACCAGACCTCACTTGGGCTTCACGTAACGTCAGGGCGCGGTGGACCGTCCTACCCGACAGTATGGGCAGCGACCATCTCCCCACCCAGATTGAACTGACGGCGGAACGACACTCAGACGCCAGGAGACAGTCACAATTCATCAAATGGGACAAGTTCCGCAAAGCATTTTCTGATCTCGCGAACGACGGCGAGCTAGGCCTCCGAATCACGGAAGCCCTCCGAAGTGCCACCGAAATTTATCAAGTTAAATCAGACGACCCCGACCCAGACCTTCACCTGCTTAACCTCTGGGCCAGTCGTCTTCAAGCCCAGCAACGCTACAGAAAGAACAAAAAACACTGGAGATTCCGGATTAAATTCAACGCGGCGACGGCGAAAGCCAAGAGATACACCATCCAGCTCAAGAGGTCTCGGTGGCGCAAACACTGTGACGGCTTTAATACCAAGGGGGGAGCAGCGAAGATGTGGCGGACTTTTCGCGCCTTTACGGGCAAGAAAAAGGCGAAATGCACCGCCCAAAACCTCGCACTCAAATTGGGCATATCCGAGCGCAAGCTAGCTGAAATAGCGAGCGATTATTTCTTCCCACAACCGCAAAATCCCAAAGACGTCCCCGCAGACAGACCGGAGTACCATGATAAGATGGACATGGATGCTCCATTCAACATGGGAGAACTACTAGAAGCATTGCACGTAGCCAAGAACTCTACACCTGGCCCTGACCATATAACGGTTGCCGCCTTACGCAACTTACCTGAAGTGGGAAAAGAGCAACTACTTCGGTACATCAACGAAGCATGGGAGACCGGGAGGATACCGGCGGGGTGGAAACACTCCACCGTGATACCTATCCCCAAAGCAGGCAAGCCAACCGAATCGATTCAGAACCTGCGACCGATATCCCTCACTTCTAATCTGTGTAAGATAACCGAACGTATGATCCTGGCTAGGATAACCTGGCAGCTAGAATAAAAGAACCAAGCAGAGGGCGAAGAACCGGCCTTTTCCTCGGTACAAACGGGGTTCCGGCCTGGCCTTGCAACCGTCGACAGTATCGCCCTTATGCACTAGGACATACTGGCAAGACCCCCGAACAAGTACCCAAGGACAATAGTTGCAGTCGATATCAAAAAGGCATTCGATACCGTACCTCACGATGCAGTGGTCCAAGGCGCCATCAATCGGGGCCTTAGAGGCCGCTGTCTAAGATTTATAAAGTCGTTCTTAGAAGGCCGGACGTACGAAGTCGTAGTCGGGGAAGAACATGGACCAAAGAAAAAGAACGTAATCGGAGTACCACAAGGAGCGGTCTTATCACCAATGCTTTTTAACATGGTAATGGCAGACTTAGCCTTTGCACTAGAGAAGGTTGAAGGTCTGGGTTATTCAATCTATGCAGACGACATTACTATCTGGTCGAATGAACGGGACGTAGAAGAACAAAAAGAAATACTGCAAGAGGGACTGGACACCATCCACTCTTTCCTACAAAGGGTGGGAATGAGGCTCTCCCCAGACAAGACAAACTGTGTTACCGTAGCAAGTAAGAGAGACAGGAAAGAAAACGGAACCTGCGACAGAATTCATCTAAATGTCAACGGCACCCCCATACAAAGAACCGACTCTGTCAAAATCCTGGGAGTAACCTTTCAAGAGGATGGCAGAGCAAGCAAATGGTATCGTGAAATTAAGAACCACTGGAAAGCTACACTGGGGAAAATCAAATTTGTTACGAGCAAGTCATGGGGAGCGCAAGAACACACACTAAAAAAACTACTCAGAGCCTTGTTAATATCAAAAACCACCTATGGAATTAATTACCTTCGCCTCAACAATGAGCAACGGAAGGGTCTAGAGGTACTTAACCGTATGGCGATGAGAGTCGTCACCGGGTTACCGAAATGCACCAAGATAGAAGAACTGGAAACAATCGCCGGAATAAACTGTGTCAGAGATATTGCTCAAGAAGACAAAATAAGCCAAGTACTTAGGCTGCAGAAAACTACAGCTGGCAGGAACATCCTGATGAAATTAGACATTGAGTGCCCGGACACACCGATCTCGATCCCCCCGCCACCGTGGGAGGATGAGACAGTCGTGGACACGAAGCCTTTACCCCAAAACCTAAGCAAAGAGCAAATGGGGAGAAGAAAAACAGCAGCTAAGAAACACAACTATGACCTCCAAAAATTACTTGAAGACCCTGAGACAGATATATACTATATACAGATGCATCAAAAGTACAATCCCAAGTCGCCATCGCAGCACACAGATTCAGGGACCAATTCACGGTCACAAGAACTCTAAAACCAAGAACGGGAGTAAAACAAGCGGAATTAATGGCCATCCAGCTGGCCATCGAAACCGCAGCTTTTAGCCCAAGCGAGAAAATCTGCATTTACACAGACGCCAAGAAGGCTTTCGAGGAGTATCGTAACCCCTCGAGCAGAAATAAGACGGTGCAAACCGTCAAAGCAATTGCACGCATATACAGAAGCGAAGGAAAACGCGTAACCATAAGGTGGATCCCGGGACACCAGGAAATACCCGGGAACGACGCCGCGGACGCTGCCGCACGGGTCTCCCTCCCTCCTCATCAATTACTCGGCCTTGGCACTGACTTCGACGACGTACAAAAATTAAACACTAGATCTCCGATCCAACCAGAAGGTGAAGAAGAAGTCGACCCCTTGGCACTCAAGGCTGTCGAACGCCAGGCACGCCGCGAGCGGCTCGGGAGCCTTCTCCGAGAAGACCCGCATCCCCCCCAGCGGATAACTACACCCGTTGGGAGAAAATATGCCTTAGAAGATTACGCACACATACAGCAATGGTTCCCAAACGCACAGCCATTTTCAAGAAAAGCAGATTAACAACGAAACAGCACGATACAGAACTTCAGGACTCACAAGCAGGACCCTCGACCCAACCCAGGAACGAGAGCCTTTGTGAATACTGCCAGGAGACCGCCTCGGAGACCCACGTCTTCTGGGACGGTCCCCGCACTCAAGAAACGAGACAGAAAGCCCTAGAGGCATTGCCACAACATATGCGACCAAATAGCCTTCAGGAATGGGTCCTGCCCACTGGATCCCCTGAGCATCGCAAGGCAACCCTCGGTTCCCTCCTCACATACGTGAAGGAAGCCAAACTCACACAATTCATCTAAAACAAATCATAACATTAACTCATCCGCTCAAAGAAGATGACTTAAGTCAAGATCGGCGAGCGTAAATCACCTTTTCATAATTATAATAAAGACATTTTCCAACCAACACCGGAAATCACGTTTCTGCTTCCTTGTCCTCTAGGGGTGTTCGCGCCGAGATGTTTAGGTGGCGCCCTGTTATGGCTTCCGTTCGTGACATCACGACGAGAATATGCCTAGCCGGGACGTCATGAGTTGTGTAATCCTGACCACATATCATAAGTTGCGAACTACAGGTTCGGTGGTGCGCGTACAAATAACGATGGAAGTTCGAAGTCATCGTATTCCTCAGCCATCATCGTCACAGTTCACACTCTGACATTCCACTGATTTCCAGTCATGAAAGACAAACGAGTACGAATAAAGACGTCACAGTGAACGTTTGGCCCCTCGCGGACTGCGACCACAACGACGCCTTTTGTCACACGTTGCGGCATGCTGTTAGTAAAGCGAGAACCCAATATATACATTTATAAATATATTTCTTAATTGTATTTATTTATTTATTTTACGGTTCCTCAGTGCAGCGCACTTTTTTTATTTTAATGCAGACTAACTTTTCGTTGTTTTTTTTTATATATATTTGTGTTCTCATCCCGTTAGCTTACAGAACATTTGGGAGTGTGCGAATAGTGGTTGAAATCTAATAGTGCTGCATCTTTCACAGTTTCAGCAGGGCAAGGAAAAGACATGACGTGCCGGCTAACTTTAATCCGTTGAAACTAGAAATGACACTAGCCTGTGCGATGTGTTATACATTGGCATGGTTTGCACGTAAGTGGAAACGAGGCTTGCTTAATATTTATAAAGGTGGATTTAACGACAAGACGGCGTTCCCAGCACTCCATTATCTGCGCCGTTCAACTATTTTCCGTACACGGCAGCACACGTCACAGATCTCGTCCATGTTTGATATATAGGGTGTTTCCCATCGTTTTTTGGGTGTAAAAAAGTCGTATAAATAAACCAGTGATCAGGCTGCAACGACACTTTTTACAAAGATGTCTTTAGGTAGTGAATTTATCCTACTCAAATTGTATCAGTGTACAACTTCAAGAAAAAAAATTAATCCTAAAAATAAAACTTGCGCTTTTTTTCTTCTTATGCACAGGAAGAAAAAGGCTTACCTCGACGAAGATCTGCTTCCATTTGATGAAGTGGGCGCTGCGTGGTGAACACTCGCTTCCGTGCACCCGCCACATGCTCACGTTGTAGTTCTTGAACTCGGGAGAGAGGTACAGGGGAAGCCGCTGCTCGGGGCCGTCCCTGCCTCGGGCCACCAGAATGAGGACCACCGGGAAAGCCGTGGTTAGGAAGTCGGTCATTGTGACTCCAAAGCGCTGGCTTTCTGCCTCGTTTGGAAATCTCGGTATAGTGCCTGGAAGGCGTCTTCGATGGCTGTGTTCACCGCCCTGTACACCACCCGTGCATCAAAGTTGGTCCCGAAGTTGCAACCAATGACGTCAAAGAAGCCGGCGTGCCATTTGTCGGATATCGACGATCCTGGCGGCGGGTCTTAGAAGCTCAAAAGAAAAAAAAAAAACATAATGAGAACAGTGAACGCAAATGTCGCTGTTGTCGGAATGGAATTACAACTACTGAATGCTAAACCTTCTGTGGACTTCCAGGCTGGAGAGAGACTTACTGAACGGGCGTCTGCCGTATTCAACTTCGCTGCTCTGCCACCGCGAGGATCGCGGCAGGCGTCTGACACCAGTGTGACGCCATCAGGCGCACGTCGAGGGACCAGAGATGAAAGGCTCGGTAAACACAAACGTCGGAGTCGTGTTCCACGCGCCACAGTCTGTCTTGACCGGCGGAGGACCGTTCTGGAGTCGAACACGTGCGCGCCTCACTGGAAGACGCGACCACGCGTAATTCGACACCTCGCGTCGCCCGTTTTCTTATCAGAGCCCTCGGCTGCTCTGCTGTCAGTCCGGTGACTGCGGCATCCCTCGATTATCTGACCTTTAGTGGAAGGAAGTCGGCTTTGAATATTTCATATGCACGCCCGCACTTACCTCGTGTCGCGGTTGACGTGGGTACGGGCGTTGACCGGAAGTGACAAGTTCATAATACATCACTTAATAACAATAATCATATATATTATTGTTAAAATGAATAAATTAATAATAATAGTAAATCAGTGCTATATAAAGTGTCCAGGAACAACCTATATCGGTCTTTGTGCTGGCACAGTTCAATAAAATTACACAAACTTGGTCATGCTGACAAAGACCAAGTAGAACAGAAACTGTCCCGCAGAAACAACACTCACACTTACTTTTTATTTACTTTACTTTTTGCATTTATTTCAATTTTTTGTATACCTTCTCTGCATACCTCCCTCCTCCCTTCCCTCTCTCGATCCGTCTCTTCCCCCTCCTCATCTGCCTCCCTTCCCCTCCCTCCCCCACACTCCTCTCCCTCTCCCACCCTCTTAGAGTGTTTTTCCCGCTAAATTTAACGAGGGCGCTAGATTGCCGGAGAGGTCACGTGACATCGAGTCACGATGTCGATTTCCTGCCAAATTTAGCGGGAAAACTGGATTGTGTAACGCTTGTTTCTGACGGGCCTTCATGACTGTTCGTGACGGTTTTTCACGACAAAACGATCCACAAAGCAAATTTTGTTTTAAAAAATACACCTAACACACGCAACTAAAAAGCACTAAAGTTCAAAGCGGGAAAGGCCCCTACACACAGTTGCATTTGAGGGCGTTTGATTGCGTTGCGTCGAGAAACGAAAGCGAGCCATCGGCACATCTGTGCTTCGAATGAAGCGTGGAATCGAATTAAAGAAATGCGGAGGGCAAGTTCGTCTGCTTCTTGCGCAGGGGGTAGCGGAGACGTCAGAACGCCAAGCTCTGATTGGCTGATCGCGACCCCCTATCTGAGCGTCGTCTGCTCCTTTGCAACGTCGGCTGCGTCTGTCTTACCTTTCCTGCGACTTTCGAAAGTGCACAGGCCAGAGGCCTGCCTTACGCCAAAAATATGCGTAAGACAAAACTTGAGAACAAATTCGTATTCACGAAACGAAATTTTCGTAAGTTTTGCGCAGATTACGACGGAATCCTACGACAGCTCCGAAGCTGTCTTACGCACTTCTTACGGCCAAATCAGCATGGCCGACAGCGTCGCGGTCGCGACGACCAACGGACGTTTATTTTTCTACGTGCGCTTCTCACGCGTCCCGACTTCAAGCAGCAAGATAAAAGTAAAAAGTACTTGAAGCAGACCACGCCGAACAAGAACGCTAGATCCACAAACACCCGGAAAAAGTTCCAACGTCCACGATTCCACCGACAACGACCAAGCGAGCACGGCAGCTAGGCCTAGCAGGCACTCCGACTCGGCGACTGTCTGCCCGCGACCGGCTGGCGTGCTGAATGGAATATGCCCGAGCGACCCTTGTGAACCCTTCCCGTCTTATACTTTGATCGCTGACCTCAATTTTAGATTAAGAGGTCAATCTGTTCCTTTTGTCATCTCCTTGTTTTCCGAGGCAACGGTGACTCTCGCCGGTAAAAAAGCGGTGAATCTCCGACAGACGCAGGAAAGGTAAAGCAGTCATCGCTTTGACTAGCAGACGTAAAGCAGACGACGTTAACAGCGCCAACCCGCCGACGCCGTTAAAAAGTGAGGAGTCTCGCTGCACACGAAAGGAGGGAAAAAGTATTTGGGAGGGAACCTGCGGACACTAACCACCTTCACCCTCTCGGTTCTTAGCAAACAAACCTCGGCGCCTCGGGACACCTCGCCAGTGAGTCCTTTGACTTCCCTCCTTGATGCGCGTCTGCTAGTTGTTAAAGAAAAACAACGTACTGCTCGAGTTATTTCGTCTGCCCTCTCTGAAAGGCGAAGTCGAGCTCGCTAGACTTCCGAAAGTCGCAGGAAAGGTAAGACAGATGCAATCGACGTTGCGAGCAGACGACGTTGCAAAGGAGCAGACGACGCTCAGACAGGGGGTCGCGATCAGCCAATCAGGGCTCGGCGTTCTGGCGTCACCACTACTTCCTTTTTCATGCGCAGAAGACGAAAATGAGCCCACTTGCGAGGCGTATAGCTTGGCATGCGACATAAAGCCGGGAACACATTTGCGAAAAAACGAGCCGAAAATCGGACGGAAATCGGAGGCTGCGAAAATCGTAGCTTGCAATTTTCGGAAGACGAGCCACATGAGGTGAAATGCGCAGCGCGGAAATCGCAATGCACTGCGGTTTTCGTGCTTTTTCCCACGCGAAATGCAAAAGGGCCGCCGATCTTGTGAAGTCCGCAATGCCTGATCGCCGTCGCCGACTTCTACTGTTGAAGAAGAAGCTAATCGTGCTTCAACTGATGAGGAAGCCTCAAAAAAATGAAAAGGCGCTGGTGGGTGCGTCCCCTGTGGCAGAAAAGACAGCAAGAAAGCGAATTCTTCACTGCGGTATGTACAACCTTTATGTGGGCATGTAAATAGACCTTTTGCTAATTTATTCAAGCACCAAGGAGCTTGCTGGATTTGTAGGCACACGCGCTCGCCGTGCTGACGTCTCCGGCGGTGATTTGTTTAAAAATAAAGTCTAAAACAAATTCCGCTTTGCACGTACGTTCGTCAAAAAGAAAAGAATAATAATAAATTTATTATCGTTCGATAATGCATCAATAAAGGAGGTCAAAGAAAAAACAAAAAACTTCGAAACAGCTTGACGAGCCCTTAACCCCTATGGTCTTAAAGGAACTTATAATTTCTATCAGGCATGAATTTATTACAATGCTTTTGTTTAATCATTTATTTCTTACCTTTTAGTCGGAACGGTATGGCTTTTTGTTTTGCTATTATTAATTGTCAAGCAATTGCACAGCACCCAAGCTTCAAGCTGCATTAAGGGAAAGTTTGCCCTGTCTATCAATTTATTCTCATTCGCAGCTGAAAAAGACAATGCCATTTATTGAAATACTAAAGTTTGTTACAGAGTTCATATTAAACAGTATTGTTTATGTACATGCTGACATTAAGGGAACCGAGAATATTAACCTGTGGGACTCCAGACGTAATAGGTTAAGTCACAAAAAATGGCTGGCAATATTTATGTACTGCTTTCGATTCCCCAATATGGTTTAATAACCCTAGGGGGTACCTCGGATAACGTAGCAGTCTAGTTCTTACAACAAAATATCGTGGTTATCCCTTTCAGATGAAGCTTATGCGGGCCGGGGATCTTGACTATTTTAAGAAATTCTACCGCATGACCCCGCAAGAGTATGATTACGTGCTCAAACTTGTAGAAGACGACCTTCGACGTTCCTATGTGTGCAGGGAACCAATTAGTGCATCGGAGCGGCTGGCCATGACGCTGAGGTAAGGGTGACGTAAATTCTCATGCAATAGCTTACCAGGTTGAGTGTTTTATATCTTATCTACCCTTTGATTTGCAATATTATGTGCCTGCGCAACGCTCCCTCTGCTGCATTCGTTCCAGGTACCTATCGTCAGGAGATCCTGTGAAGGATGTCGCACTGGCCATCCGTGTGGGCATATCGACTGCAAGAGCTGCCATTATCGACACATGCAAGAGTCTGTGGGAAAGGCTGAGGCCACTCTACATGCCGGTCTGTGCCTATTCTTTGTATGTTGGTATCCTATAATGACACATTGCTTTAATCAATCCAGACTCCCAACACTCAGGTATGGCAGGACATCACTATGGAATTTCAGAGACTCTGGCAATTTCCAAACTGCGTCGGAGCAGTTGACGGAAAGCATGTCCAGATGCAGGCACCTGTTAGGAGCGGCTCCCTATATTTCAATTACAAGGTGTGATAATCTTTACATTTAATAGAACCTTTCAAGCATTAATAGCATTTATGGCCATAGTGTGTTATGCGCGTATCGTGCACTTCCCCTTTTTTGCATTTTGTGTGGCATCCCCCTTTTTCCTCACTCCAGGACTAATTATGGCATGTTGTTTATGTGATTCTAATCTTGAGTTAGATGAAAGCAAAAATTACCAAACTTCATATTTCCTGGTGTTTTGTTTTCAGAAAACGCACTCCATCGTGCTCATGGCTTCTGCAGACGCTCACTATTGCTTCACTATTGTGGACGTGGGGGCATATGGCAGAAACAGTGACGGCGGAGTGCTGAAAAATTCCAACTTTGGCATTGCCATGGAGAAGGGCTTGTTGAAGGTGCCGGGCCCGAAGTTGCTACCGGGCTCAAATGCGGTCGCACCGCATGTATTTATTGGTGACGAGGCGTTTCAGCTCCGGGATGATTTCATGAGACCCTACCCGGGGCAGAACCTTGAAAACGCAAAAGACAACTTCAACCAGAGATTAAGCAGAGCAAGGTATACATCAGATGCTTTCTAGGTCTCCTGGCTCTAAAACATTCAAAGCACCTTAATTACCAGAATGCCATGTTGAGCATCCTCATTAGTCAAGTTCAATTTACAGCTGAAGGGGGAGCTTATGAGATATCCCTGCAATAGTCAAGAATTATGCATAAACGTTATGTCTCCAGCTGCCATTCAAGCTGAAATATCTAGCAGTGCGCCACTGGAAGTGTTTTTTCTATTGCAGAGCAGCTTCTTATCCTATTGTTTGTGTTTCATGTTTCATATAAGGAGGTGCGTGGAGAACGCATTTGGAATTCTCTCGTCCCGCTGGCGGATTTTCCGAAGACCTCTGGCGGAGTCTCCCAAAAATGCTGAGCTCCTGGTTCTGGCAGCTTGTGTGCTACATAACTACCTGACGTCCAAAGCAGGTCAAGGAGACAGTTTCTACTGCCCACATGGGTACGGTGACCATGTTACTCCAACTGGAACTATGATCGACGGTGCTTGGCGCACTGAGCAAGAAGACAGCGGCCTAACGTCCTTAG